AGCAGCTTGGGACCAAGGGTGGTCGGTGAGAGAGGGAGGCCAGCTATGTGACGTGAGAGGGATGTAGATGAGCAAGGAGCACCGACTTCAAAACCTGTTCTTATGTACCTTGAGGAGGCTGGACATCGTTTTCTTTTTTGTAACATGCTATAGTCTTGGTAGTAAGGACAACCTCAAGAACGATATGGTCGGGAACAACCAACATATCTGATGTTGATTATATAATTACATTATGATATGATTGATAAAGATATATAGTCTGATATATGCTTTGAGATACTGTATATCCTTTGCACTCACTTAGATGTTTTTCTGATTTTGTTGCAGAATGTTCAGCACCCCAGCAACGAGCCCCCAAAACCCAAAACGATACCCAAAACTGATCCATCTTTGAGCCTGTTGGCAGGCCCACCAGTCCGGGAAGAAATGAACATCACAAAAAGAGACTCCCGGCAAGAGACCCACATGGAACCTGATTTTGTTCACCTTTGGAAGCCTATTTTCCTCTACAACCCAGTGGTTTTAAGGTGCTATGCTAATCTTCCAGGGTGTACCACCATGTTTGATGTCCAAAGTAACTGCATGTTTGCTGCGATACTTCGCTTCGATACACAAGCCTCCACAGTTTGGGCAAAGTACGCTCGGACAAACCAAGAGGCCGCCCCCACTTGGTGAAGGACATACAGAAAGGAGGAGGGGAAGCATTTAGTGAACTTTATTGCACTTGGAGATTTGGATTGAGTACCCTTGTTTCAGGCAACGTTGCAGCTCCAACAGTTCTGCTGAGGTGACCTCTATCTCCGAATGCGGTGGCCTATGAAGGGCAGCAGCCCTGCGAAGGAGTTGGTGAAGCTGCTCGATGAAGAGGCGTGCTACGGAAACGGAACATTGCCTCTTTTTTTTGGGCCGCTCCCCCCCTCCCACCAACTTAATTGAGTAGGCACCTACTTAAATAAGTAAGGGAGAAGCTAGCAGCTTATGTACTTAAGCAGGATAGCTCACGCTTCTTCAAGGAGGGGAAGCTTCCTTGAAGAAGCGCTCGCACAAATGATTTGGTTCCTAGATGTTTAGGGAGGGTACTTGTTGAGGACTTCACGACCAACTCTCTCAATGATCCATCCCGCAGACCCAACCATCTCCCGAACTCAGAAAAGTTGTGAAATCAATTAAGTCTGATTGTGGTCCATCAGTCTCAGGGATTCAGGCATGCGTTTAGCAGTTTCGAGGTGTTTCCGTTCTTGATCGTTCTTGTGTTCTTCCTATTAAAAGACATGTCGTTGGTCAAATTGTAAGCGGAAAAGCCTCGCGCAGAATGTCGTCAAAAGGCGGGAACGGTTGGGAAACAGGTTCGTCAAAAGGTCGTTTTTTTTGTTCGACCCGAAGACTCTACTGTTTGGAGGCCGTTGGAGGCATGAGAGTCTTCTCAAGGTGAGTCTTGCGGTTTGGCAGAAGAAGCACCTAACAATTTGAAGAAGGGGGTGAACCTGTGGTTTTGTGGTCTATTCCAAACAGTGGAAGCCTGATATTCGAGAAAACGACAAGTCTCGACTTGTCAAAAAGAGGAAAGCCACAAAAGCACGGCAAAGAGCAACTGAATCGATGCCAATTGGCAACACCGACAAGCAAAGCCATCAAACCACACTTATTTCAAGCAGGCGCACGCACACACACACACACACACACACCAGCTCAAACCAAGAAGTCAAGAACAAGCAAGGAAATGCAGATGGGCTTCATCCCAAAAGCCTGTTTTTTTTCCATGTTTTACCTAGGGTGATGTCTATTTTCCAGGGTCAATCCCCTAAAACGGACGGATATATGTGTGTTCCTTTTTCTGTTCCGGCTTCAACAGCAAATCCCAACCGTCCCGTCGACCACGACCTGAGGCCTTCGTGCGGCATGTGACGGATGTGACGGCTGAGGCCAGCGAGATGATGCTGCCGGACGCTCAGCTAAGCAGATGCCGGTCGATCCCAGTCCGCCCAGGGGAGGTCTTTTCGGTAAGGGACAACCAATCCAGCATCCTCCAACAGGTCTCCGTGGGAGGGTTGTTAGGCAATAGGAGGTGTCAATTGGTGACCTGTTGGAGGGTGCTGGAAGGGACAACCAATCTTATGTATATAGACTCTTGAGGTACATGACCCCCAATTGAATTGGAACATCCTCTTCATATTGGGGGGTCCATTCATCAAGAGTCCACAGTTGGGTCTTGTAAGCAAATGTCTGAGATCTCCCCCAAAAGAATGTGTGTTTGTAGGTGTATAGTGTATACTGTAACTGCACCCCTGGGACTATTGTTGGCCATATCCTAAATGTAAACTATTGGAAGATTGGACAGGAATTGTTGTCCCGGACAGCTTTTTGTGGAACACATTATTTTGTGCAACTTGAACGTAATTGGAACGCAATCTGAACACAAGTTGAATGCAATTCGGAGATGGTTTATGGAAAGGGAAGCGAAAAACCGTTCAGGCGTCAACAAAGGACATAGACTTCCGATGAGGAACGTGAAAATGGTTGAAAACTTTTTGAACACTCTAAAGAAAATCAACTTTTTGGGATTTGGACTAGATTTGGACCACAATGTTTGGACCAACTACGTTTTTTGCCGGCGAGGCGAACGTCAGTCGGGTGAGGGAGGACCCTCGAAAGATATCCTAAGATCCACGGATTCCCTAATATATATAGCTTTTATATGCTGGCTTCTATCTTCCCCTACCAGGTTACCAGTGGTACTTTGGGCAAGTGCCTCCTCCCCTCCTGGTTTGGAGGTCCGCTTGCCACAGTCAAGCAACACTACCATGAACAACGCGAATCTCCTTCGGGATTTGAGTTTCCCCAGAACGATGTCAAGATCCTTTTGATACGCAGTCAGTGGACAACCTTTCACCTTCTTGAGGGATTGGTTTTGGTGAAACGTTCGGTGAACAGCTCTTTTCGAGCAACGCGGCTCAGGGGAAACATGTGGAAAACAGACACGGACCACGCCGGCCGTTTGTGTTTTGCAGATCCACAGACATCAGCTATATATAGGTCATTCCAGTGGATTGACCAAGCACATCCAAGGACCAGATTTGAATTCACCAGGTCATTCTGTTGGATTTCCAATATATTCACCAAGGACGAATGGGAATTTGCCCTTCGTCCCTGCCATTTTCTGATGGATCAGATCTGGTGGTCGGACTCGCGTGTGCACCGCTGGTTTGGGAGGAAGGACCACCGGCATGCTGGCTCCTCGGCCTGTCCACTCGAATGGATCCTTCAAAGCATGGTTTGAGGCAGAATTGAAAATTGATGTCGATGTTGAAGGTATGTTACGAATATGTTTGTATTTGTTTGGTGGCGAGAAATGGATACGTCAAAATCAGTCGCATACCCCATGAACTGACCATGACTTAAATTTTGGGTGGATGACCGATAAATGTGCCGATCAGTCCAATTAATCAATATTATAGATCAGTCGTTGACAAATCTCTATACCACTCAGGAGACATCCCAAGTTTGTGCAAATCAACTCAGTAACTGGTGGTATCGATCATGGACCGTGAGCTTTCGTGGAAACAGCGTGAAACGCGCTTTCTGATTATGCTGCAGATTCTGTTCATTCTTTACATCACAAGCCCTCAGAGGATCAGAAGCGGAATTGCTTCACTTGATTCAGGATATTTCCTTGGTACTGGTATGATCCCATACACTCAGTGTATACCATATTTGCCTACATTGACTCCCCAAACCACCCCAACTGCTCGGCATATATACCATACATGGAGCATCTGGGCATGATGATCAAAGACAAAAGAAACTCTTTCGCCACTCGTTCGCCACTCTCGGCACCGAGGCCTCTCGCAGTTCTCGCAGATGTTGGAGCAGCGGCCCTACTTGCAGAGCGGGCCTTTGCTGCCACGACGTCCAGCACCTGTGGAAGGCCTAAGCTTGCGCAGGGGGCAAGAGTCAGTGCCTTGGTACACGTGGTGACCTCAAGGTGACCTCAAACTTTGGCAAAACCCTTGCAACAACCTGTATGACATGCACTGAATTTATTTGGTGGATGCACACACAAGAGTTGAACCACCCAAAACAAAACTAAGCATCGAAGGGCAAACATCCTCGAATTGTGGTAGATTGGCATCTCAAGCATACTCTTGTGGTGCTCTCACGACTTTCACCGGTGAGTGTTGACCCAGAAAAGAGGGGATTGTCACCGTGGATCAACCGAGGGTGTCGTAAAAATATTAGTGGCTGGTGGCCGTGCACTGCGGATCCTTGGCGCCTCAGGTGTTTATGACGTGGGACAAGCATGAAGTCTGGGTCTATGGATGTTACGTGGACTGAGCCACGCTGTGGATCTCTAAGACCACGGGGAAGACCGCACACAGCGCGCTTGCGCTTTTGATGCGCTGCTCCGCACGGCGATGTTGCGGCAGATGGAGCGATGTTGCGGCTGATCATGTCGTTGATTTGTCGTTGCCTGGATGGTGGCCGCGGTGGCCACGTCACGTAGAATCAGTCTCACACCCGTAGTGGCTCGGATCGGACAGCCTCGCGGTGCTTTCCATGGGAAACCGTGACCTTATTGGGTCACCGTGATCCCAACGAAGAGGCGGCGCAACTCGAAAGCTCCGGGCGGTGGAAGCTCCGGGAGGGGTGCGATCGGAGGGATGTGTGCTCCAGCGATCGGGGGGGTTGTGGTGTGCCGGTCATCAAGGTGCAAAATGGGTGGTCCTTGAAGATGGACGACCATAAGAGAAGCCTCCATAAATATGGAGAGAAAGAGAGAGACAGAGAGACTCCTGTAAGTTGAGTTGACAACCTACCAGCCTCATTCCTGTAACATGCCTGTAACCCAGTGGTAGAGAGGATCAAAAACACCTCCAGGTCACCACAAAAAAAGGCTTTGTTTTCAACAAAAATTGAAACAAAAACTCTTTTGTTGACCTGGAACACCCACCATCTCCACTCGCCACCGCCCATGGTGGGCGTGTCGCCGGCACGGCGGCCAGGTCTTGGCCTTGGTCGGCGCCCGACCGGTACCCGACTCCCTGGGCCGCGTCAACAAGGCGCGGGCCAGTGCGCGGGCTAAGTGCGCGGGCGGTTGCATCGGTTGAAAGGGAAAAGAGGGCCAAGAAAGAACAGGGAACAGGGCCCCCACCGGGTAATTCTATGCAACAAAAGAACAATAGCAGTGCTGGGATCTCAGATCTCCATCTCTGAGAGAGACACCCCCCCGCGCATCGTGGAGGACTTCTCACCACCGATGAGCTATGACTCGGAAAAAAAGACAAAAGAGAAGCGTTGACAAGTTACTAAAATTGTTGTTTTTGTTTGCTTTGTTTGTGTGTAGCCCAAACATTGTGTTAGACAAACCTCAACAGTTACTTGTATAGCTGAATTTGATTGTTTTGAGAAAACCACCCTCGGTTAGAACCATGGTTTATAACATGTGAGAGATAGCGTTGGCTACCAGCTTTTCCCCTTGCTTGGTAGCGTTGGAAATTGATGCTGTGTGTAAGCATTGCATTGCAGTTTGCAATAGCATTCTGGAATAGCAGTGGCAACAATGCCATACCGTTACACGAAACCTTGAGTGAAAGCACTGCTGTATAGACATCAGAGACGGAAGTCAAACACAAACTTCGTTTGGCTCAAGTGTGAGAGGAAACTTGTGCGGCAGCCTGGGTCCGATCGCTCGTTGCATCGTATCGTGACTTTTGCTGTACATTGCTCACATTTGGAAGCATATATACACAGATCTAAGAATCTACTGGTTATCAGCCGTAGCAGAGACACCCTGAGCTGCGGGATCGTGTGAACAGAGAGAGACCAGAGAGTGCACTGAGAGTTCAACTCATTGTATCGTAAGTAAGGGGGCGAGTCACAAGGTCCAAGGACATAGTTGTTTGATTGATCAAGAACAAGTACAACTACATCTCTTGCTACCTTGCTCGCGCCTTAGCGCGAATGGACCGATCGCGACCTCCCGCAGCGGCTGCTGATCGATCGCGACCCCGCGAGAGACGGGCTAGGGGCGGTGACCCTTATCGCCCTTCTCAGAGAAAGCGTGAGCGTGTTGGACTTCAGGTGGAGCATCGGACCAGAGGTTCTTCGCCCCCGCCAGAATCGAAATACTACGCTCGTTCAAGGCCAGTTGAACCGTCGGGTCCACCTCCAGATCGTCGGCAACCGCGTGAGCCGGCGCACCCGCCCTCTGTTGAGACATCCTCAAGCCCAAGACGACCTCCAAGATTGCCACACGGGCCACCACCGGGAGTCACAGAAACTGTGTCTCACAGAAGTCTCCCAAGGCGTGTTGTTGTTGAGGAGCGTGAGGAGGCCGAGCACGAGGAGTCGGAGGAGTTTGAGGAAGGAGCAGGATCAGCCCCATCGTCGGGCCCTCCAGTCGCGGACCCGCCGACGCGGGGCGGCTACTGGAAGAAAGCGTGGGTGTGGATTCCGGATCCTGACCCAAGAGATCTTGCCGGGCCCGAGCATTGGAGGCCCGTTGACTCCCCTCCTGAAGTTGTATCGCGTGCTTCTCCATCGGTTGAGCGTGTTGATTGTGAGACGGAGGAGAGAGAGGAGCACTCGCGCGCTGCAGGTCGTGGTGAAGCGTCGGATTTTGTTGAGGTAAAGATCGAGGAGGTAGCCGATTACGACGAGCAGGTCGAGGAGGAACAGGCTGTTCCACCAACAGAGCCAGCCGAGACTGAGGCTGCGCACACACCTGAAGCTACTGAGGAATCGACCCCGGAATCTCGCAGACAGGCTCGAAGAGTGCTGCGCGAAGGGGCGAGACATTTGAGGGAACAGGCCAAAGAGTTGAGGAGTTCTAGGTCAAAGCCATCTTCGACGACGTCACCGCAGGAGGCTTCGCTGTCGCCTCAGACTGAAGCAAGAACTCAGGCAGTTGCAAAATCGAAGGGGCGAAGGGAAGCGGAAGAGGCAACAGAGGCGGATCGAAAGAAGCATAAGCTTGAGGCGTTGCCCCGCCCGCCGTTGCCGCCTGTCAGACCTCGCACTCCGCCTGTTGAACCCAGATCTGCATCAGCTCCACGGCCATCAGAGGCCCCGCTTGCACTTGAAGATCAGGCCGAAGAGAGGCCTCAGCTTACACAACAGGTCCGACCGGTGAGGCTGCAACCGCGACCTAAGGGGTCGCCTGAGGTGCGTGTGCCAACACCCCCAAGACCTCCTTCACCGTTGCCATCTTCATCTGCATCCCACAGGGAACCTCATCGGGAGGTTGAGCGTCCGGCGATCGGGCGTGAGGAAGAGCTGCCACAGCCTCTTGACCCCGCGTACGGAAGTGTTCCTGTGATAGCACTAGATTATCACAAGACATTGAGATTCCCAGGTCAACCGTTGTCGCATAGCAGCATTGCGTGCCTCCGAGAAGCTCGATCCCTCGGGTTCCAGTTGATTGTTGTGTCGTTTGCATCAAATCTCAAGACCCAAAGGGATACATTGGCAGATCTCGCACGGATCGAACAGGAGGCCGACATCGTGTTTGCGGACAAGATCATAACACGCCAGAAGCTGCTGGCGGATGAGTTCCACGGAAGGTCGGTGACAGGGCACTTTCACCCGAAGGCGAAACTTGTAGCATTGACTGGAGCGATCATTTACGTTGACGACCAGCCTCAGATTTTGAGAGAGGTGTTGCAAGTTCAATCGCGTCGTCCGAGAGCTCATCGAACCAGGACCATCCGTGCCGGCAGTACTCCGCAGAACGCATTGGCAGAGTTGTACGATCTCATTCAAGAGTTTGGCAAAGACATGAGATCGGTGCCGGTGCCGGAGGACCTGCGTGACCTTTGAGGAGAACTTGGTGCATTGAGTATCTTGTATCAGTTGAGCATTGTTCATTCATTTTGGTTGAAAGCATTGTCAGTTGTGGATCGCTGGTTGGCTTGACTTCAGTTGGATCGAGTTGCTTCGCGCCTCGCGCGATCGTCGAAAATTCGCTGCCTTTTTGCGCGTGACGAGCATCAAACTCGCGGACCCAGCTCCGCGTGCAGCAACAAAAGTGCGATTCGTGTTGGTGAGCTTTCCTTTGAGAGTAAGAGTTGTGTTTTCTTGTGCATTCTTGCGTTGTTGAACATTGCTTCGTTGATTGAGAGAAGATTCATAGAACTTGCATTGAAGAGTTGATTGTCGTCGAAGTTGAATGAAGAGAATCACTCCAGCCACACCTTTCAGGGTCATTGGCCCGGGGGATAGCGCTTACACCACGTCATCTTCATCTCCGCCCCAGGATTCGCCCGACAAGAGCATGGAGAATCCAGACCAGTCGAGTTCAAGCAACTTGGCATTGCCGGAAGGACAGATGGTTCGAAAGGGACGGGGTCGGTCCAGTGCTATCCCTGTGGTGGAAGAACCCCAAGAGCATGGTGAACCCCGACAAGGGCCAGAGGTGCATTTGCATGATCAACGTACGTTGAATGTACTAAATCAGAGTAACATCCCACCTCACATCCTTGAACAGCTTGTCCATGACTATGTCAAGGCTGAGAGAGAGAAGGTTGCCATGCAGGTGTCGGTTGAGAGACAACAATATACACAACAACTCCAACAGCAGTACCACACTTCCATTCAACAGCAGCAAGAGGCAATATCGTCGGAAGCCCAGCAACGGGTATCGCAAGTAACTCGGGAAGCCCAGCAAGAGGTGCTCAGACAACAGCAGTTGGCGGAACAGGCCCAAAGGGACCTGATCATCGCTCAAGACTCTGCACAAGCGCATGCGCGAGCAATAGAACAAGCCACACATATGGCTGAGCAAGCAAATAGAGAAGTGCAAAGAGTCCGCGAACAAGCAGCAATGCACATGCAAGCATCGCAACAAGCCACACTGTTGAGCGCAGAGCACACGAGACAACAAGCAGAGGGAGTCATGGCCGAGAAAGATGAGAGGATTGAACAACTCTTGCATGAACTTGATGCTTTGAGGTCCTCCCCAAACGTAGGCAGACTCTTCGACACTGCATCAGAGCTAGGTGGCCGTGCCCCAAGCGTAGCTAGTGCTTCTCCGTTGAACGTTGTATATTGCCCTGTTTGTGGAAACCAAAATGTTTCTGGTCGAGGAAGTTGTTGGAACTGTCGAAACACACTTGATGAACCCAACAATGGCCCGGATTTGTTTGAGCCACCTCCGCATGAACGGCATCTATATCCCTCTCCTGAGCGCCCACCTAGTGTAGCGACCATCAGGGAGAACGCATTGGTATCAAGGCCGATGCTTGCAGGCGGAAGCCCAACGAGGCGTGACGTTCCGTTGCCAAAGGCCCCAGGAGGACCAAGACCGTTACTGATGCCAGTTACGCGTGAGGTGATGGTTGATGGAAACCCTGTTCATCAAATGCATGTTGATCCGAGACTCATCTATGGAGTGACCACCCCAAAGAGTGTCTCAGAAGCTGAGTTCGTTGCCCCGCATGGCTATGATAGCGTCCCAAGACCTGGTGGAGCGGAGTATCACTCCCAAAAGGCGCCAAAGGCCACGCAAGGCCCGGCGTACCCGCCAGGGGGGTTTATTGGCACGATCCACGAGGCTTCATCAAGTCATGCCCCACAGGCCATCTCGATTGCAACGCCACGCAAGAAGGAGTCGAGTGATTCGGAGGCAGGTTCAGAGAGTTCAGGTGATCCTGTCGGTGGCGGCTCGCGATTGCCTGGAGGAGACCCTCCTGAACCATGGTTGCAGGAAGGTGAGACTGAGGACCACATATACAAGATCAAGCATTTGAGGAACATCTCCATCACGAAGTTGCCAACAGATGCAACATCTTGCAGAGAGTGGCGAGCGGCTTTGCTAGCCTCTGTCTCCCGCATCGACCTCACTGCCAGGGACGTCCTTGTCAAGTACACCACCTACTGCATGGATGGCGGTCGCGGCAGGGCGTTTCGTTCGATGTTGCAGGAGGATCAAACGTTTATACCGTTTAACAAACACCTCGCGGCGGAATTGATCAAACAAGACGTGCTGGCGACGAATACTGACCTTGCTCATGAATTATCGTCGTACGTGGAATCTTGCACCGCCATGGCTCAGGGACCGAAA